CCCCCCCCCCCCCCTGCCCTTGGCCCTTTCCCCCCCTCCCAAGTTTTTAAGAAAAATGTGGCCCCCCCCCCCCCCCCCCTGCCCTTGGCCCTTTCCCCCCCTCCCAAGTTTTTAAGAAAAATGTGGCCCCCCCCCCCCCCCCCCTTGCCCTCTCACTTCGAGCTTCTCGCAGCACTGAAGCAACAAGAACAGACGATTTAGTCCTATGAGAAGAACAGGAAACCAAGAACGCCACTGGCTCACGCTCTTTGCTTTCTTTCGTATTTCCTTTCCGGCTTTGCATCGGAGTCTGTTCTCTGTCGGTTCACCAAGAGTGACAGGCGACTGTGGAGAGAAGGGAAAAGTTTTAAACATGCACTAATTTGATGATGGTAAAACTACAGAGCTTGTGTGTGTCACCCCCTCTCCCCCCGAAACCTTTTTTTGTATGTGAAATAGGGAGAAAAAGAAAAAAAAAGAAGAAAAAAATGTGTGTTACTGTTGATAGTTGACTGTTTATTGCCCAATATTGAAGTGTAAATTCAGATTAATACTATTATTGTGTGACATCTGTTCAATATCTGTACAGTACCAGTAAGCTTTTTTAAGTCAATGACAAAAAAAAGAGGGAATAATGCAATGTGATTGTTGAATTTCACTGTATTTTTACAGTTGTATGCAAAACAGAAAAAAAAAAAAAAAAAAAAAACGCTGGTCCTCCGAGGCGATCGGTCGAGAACATTAAAGAATTCACCATTATTTCTCAGGCAAAGTCCTATGGCATAGTGCATCCTCATTTTTACCTTGATCATAGTGTGTGTAGAAAATGTACAAAGTGAACAGTTAACTCCTGCACTCTATGAAAAGGCATTCGTTTCTGAGATGGCATTTTCTTTTTCTTTTTCTTTTTTTGAAACACCTCATCGTCACAGATGTCATAGCAGCTTCAAGGCATGTTCATACCCACAGTCTGAATTTGGATTCATGCGACTCATTGGTGTGATTTTTTTTTTTTTTTTTTTACCTCAAAACAAAAGCGTTAGGAGGGACGACGGTCCGGTCTGCGCTGTGTGACAGCGTTGTGAACTGTCAGCTTTAATTAACCACTTCTTACTTTTTTGCCTTCTTAATAAGCGTTTCAGTTATTTTTAGTCATTTGTACCTATTGTTCCCAAACCGTGTTTTTCCCCCTCTGTCGTCCAGACTCCTCGTTTTAATGTAGTGGCCAGTATAAATCGTGTTATTAGGTTATTTAATCCATCTCTTAGGCAGCCACAGTGGTCCTCATGCTTCTGTTTTGAGCATTAGACCTCTATGCAAACCAGACTTTATGTTTAGAGCTTACAGCCATCTTTTTGAACGTTTAAGGGAAAACGCATGGCAGGTTAATTGTACTAACTCATTATTCTATTTATTTTTATAGTTTGTGCTTTTTTTTAACATTTTATTTATTGTTGCTGGAAAATGGAATTAAAACTTAAATGTGCAATTAAAGCAACCATTCCTCTCAATTCATATCAGCATTATTGAAAACATGGGATGTTTCTGATCAGGACTCCATTTATGCACTTCAGTACATTTACGGTTTTAAATTTTTTGTCTACCACAACGGTGGACACGTTTGACATTAAGCAGTTTGAAGCAAATTGTCTCACCATAAATTTCGGTGGGGTTGAGAAATACGAGACCATCTGAAAGACTTAAAGCAAAAGCAGAACCGAACCCAGCAAGATCACAACGTCTAAAGAGATGGAGTGGCTGAGAACTAAATTATGGGCAGTTAAAAACATTGTAAGAGGAGAAGTATATTTTTCTCTTTTTTTTTCCAGATTGGCTGTAAATCATGTCACTGCATCAGGTGCTGGCATAGAAGCTTCATCAGAGTTTCATCAGGATCCTCTGAGTCATTATTCAGGACTACGATCGGGACGTCCCGGCTTCTTATTGTTTCTTACTTTTCTTTTCCTGTATTTATTATTTATTCTACACTACATATCTGCTGTCATGCTGCAGTCATGTAAACCTGTGACAGAGAGAGAGAGAGAGAGAGAGAGAGAGAGAAATGAAGACTTGAAATGTCTGTTCTGTCATCCAGTCATTTCTTTGCCAGACTTGCTAAAGAATTTCTTTGGTTTCATATTTTTTTTTAAAAAACGATATCAGAGCAAAAACGTCTCGCAAATGTATGAATGTTCCCTGTAGCTGCTATGAAGCGACATTCCTGTGTTGTGAATGTGTACTTTCGACCTGATGTGCCCGACATCAACAGTAGTGGAAGCTGTTCCTCCAGGACCGGAGGCCGGCGGACCGACGTTCAGGGGACGATTCTCAGTCAACCGTCTGACTTAAGCTCCCCGCTGACTGAGAAGTGCGAGCGGTCGCCGACGTGACGTCCCTCTGTCGCTCGCTCCGCTCTCGTGCAAAAACCTATGAGTTAAGTATCGTGTTGAAGACAAAAGAACCTGGACGAGAGCGATGTATATGGGAGTGTTTTGTACTTTGCTCACCTATGTGCTTGTGAAGATGATAGTGAACCAGTCAGTTACCGACTACAGTGTCTGGCCAAAAAAAAAAAAAAAAAGTGAAGAAAAAGTAATGCTTCATTTCTTTTTCCAGATTGTTATCTTTTTTTTTTTTTTTTTTAAAGTGACCGAGATCAATGAGACAGTAAGATAGACCAACGTCTGTGAAGCACATTATTATATTCAATCTGTTTGTAAATGTACCTGAACCACTCTTTATACTCAGATTCAGTCCAGTTGGTCCCGGTCTCTGGCTGCGGCTACTTGCTGCTTCACACAAGTTGCTCTTTTTTTGGCCAGTCAGTGTATTTCACAGGAGGTGATATCTATTTTATGTTTTTTTTTTTTTTGTTTTGTTTTGTTTTTTTTGTTTTTTGCAGCTATGACCTCTGCAAACCAAGGTTAAAGGGTCTGTGTCATACTTTCCATTCCAGATAGAGCAACATGACAAATATTGATGTCAATAATCTTGAATCACTTTATTTTAAATCCCGATTAAAAAAAAAAAAAAAACACTCTAGAACTTAAGTTGTGTTTTTTTCCAAAGGTGTGGCGTTTATATCTATCATATATGTAGATCACATATATGTATCTATGCATATATGGCTCCATTTTTTTTTTTACTTTCGTAATTTTAATAATGAGAAGAAAATAGCAAACTTACAATGACATTGGTTGTTTTCTTCAGGCTCAAAAATGATTGTAAAACTCTCTAAAGTTTCAAACATTACTTTGTAGAACACGTTAAATGGAAACTGGTCCTTCCTTTTTTTTTTCCTTTCCCTTCTTCCTCCATCCGTCCCTTTCAACGGGGACGACGGACATGGAGAGGTTTCAGAAAGCTTCAAGAAAAATCCCAACCAAAAGAAGACGATAGAGAACGAACGGCAGGACAAATAGACATTTTCGTCTTTCAGTCTTTTGTTTTAAGTTTTAAACTTTTTTTGTTTAGTTGCTTTTTTTTTTCCTCTGAGGTGAGGAGTGGGGGGCAGCTGGAGAAAAATGTTTTAAAGACAAAATTCCAACTTTATAAGTTATTAGTAGATTTGACCACACAAAACAATAGTAGGTTTCGACGGCAATTATTTTCCAAGCAAACTTGCAACAATTTTTTCCAGAACGCTCAATTTTTTTTTTTTTCCCAACTGATTTCGAAGGAAAGGATTGCACAATTTTAGCTTAAAAAAATCAAGCATCGCAAGCCAGAAGTGATACCATGTTACTTTGACCTTTGAGATTTTCTCCCTAAGTTACCGACATCAAAGATCATTTTCACACACTGAGCTTGACTTTTTACCATGTGTCCAGAAGCCATTACCATGTTGCAAAACAAGCAAACTGAGTAAGGGAAACATATGTCAATGTGATACAGCTAATGGCTCTATTATATCTGGTTGCCATGGCCACCCCCTGTCTGCTCTGCATCCATTTTCTATTGGTTCTGAAACGTCTCTCCCAGATGTCCGTAACGTCCGGTGATGGCCACTCGCGCCTGCAAGGTTAAGCAACGCCGACGATGGTTCCCACTGGGCGTCTGCAGATGAGGCGGATTATCTGAAGATCCAAAGACAAAAGATTATTTTCTCTCTTTGGAAGCATTAAGTAGCGCTTGTATCTGAAGTCCTCATCGAGACGTAATTCAATCGAAATAAGAGCTAAATGCGCCTTGCCTGAAAGTCTGAAAGTGCAGACATCGTAGTGTTGGGGTCATTCATTGGCCGGTGCTCTCATTGTACGATGAAAAGTTAAATGTCCAAACTGCACAGATCTAATCACAACCTTTTTAAGTTTTTAGTTTGATCAGTGGAACTTCTCTTGTAATAATCAAGAAATAATCCTTCATCCCCTGCTTTGTCTTTAACGATTTTTATAAAAATAAAAAAATAAAAAAAATGTTTCTCTGTAATTCAGTGAAAAATTATGCTAATAATAATAATAATGAAATAGATGTACTTAAATTGCTATGATCTTAACCAAGTGTGTAAAACAAATGTTATTGATCAATTGCTGGCAGCGGTATCAAAAAGGAACTTATTTAACGAGTTGACAAAATGAAAGAGACTCAGGAAATGAGAAGAGTGAAGAAAGGAAAGAAGAAACTATCCCAGGGAGAATATATCCGTTTGGGTGATGATGGGACAGGATCTCCTCGAAGCCCAGCTCTCGGATCTACGCAGGTCCACACAGGAGTGGAAATGAGGAGCAGCAGAGAAAATCAAGCCGTGTCGATTCAGGAGTCAGAGTTATTGACATGTAAGGTGGAGTGTGTGCAGCAATTTCCTTCCATATTCACTCTGTAGTGTGGAAGTGCATCAGTGGAGCACAACTATTTACTGGTGATGGATACCGTACGTTATCGAAAACATCTGGAGAAAAACCAAAAAGTGAGCCGTGAGGTAAGAGACGAAACCCACTTAGTGTTTTCAGAGGATGATGAGGCAGTTATTTCTCATTTAACAGGAGGACATGAGTTCCCCTCTCATTACTTCTAAATTGTGTGTTTGAGTGTGTGAGAATGGAGGGTCGAGGACAGACTCCTGACCCCACAACACTGAGCAGGATAACACACACTCCTCACACTGCAGTGTTTTTCAGATGTGATGGCTGCCGTGGTAACATGGAAGGTCGCAAAAAAATTGTTCCACTTTTGTTCTGTGATTGTCGGAAACACATACGGTAGCTCAGCTGTTTACACTTAAGCTGTATAGGTTCTTTGTTGCATGTTTTCCCTTTTGTCCGGCTGCAGGACACAAACTGTCCGCTAACAGCCGTTTTGGGAAGAAGCCGTCTCGTTGCGGTCTGAAAGTCCGCTCAAATCCCGGAAGACTTACTGTTGCTGGGAAATGTGATGCCGTTCCACAGCCGAGGCCAAGGTCAAAGACATCCTGTCATGGGTCTAAATAAGAGCTTTTAGAAAGCTACAAGAAAAATCCCAACAAAGGAGGATGATAGAGAACCAACAACGGGACAAATAGACATGTTCATCTATTTAAACTTTGTTTAAAACAAAAATCTGTTTGTTTTTTTTTGTTTTTGTTTTTTGTTTTCCTCTGAGGTGAGGAGTGGAGGCGGCTGGAGAAAAATGTTATAAAGATAAAAATCCAACTTTATAAGTTAATTAGTAAGTTTGACCAGACAAACAATAGCAGGTTTCGACAGCAATTATTTTCTAAACTAACTTTCAACATTTTTTCAGAACACTTGATTTTGTATTTTTAACTAGTTTTGAAAAAAACAATTGCACAATTTCAGCTCAAAAAAATCAAGCATCACAAAAACAATATTTTTTGTCAAGTAAAGCTCAATATTTACACGTTTATTGATCAAAAAGTGAACTATTACTACGTTGACTTAAAAGCAGTAATTCATGCAAAACAAACATCCACTAAGCATTGACTGTCAGGAAATGGACATTCTTTTCAGAGGCCTGACAGTTTACGTTTAAAAAATCTTTATTCTTTTATATTAAAATGTTCTGTGACACAGACTTTTGCAAGTCCATTACATTGTGTGGCAGGACCTGCTGACTGTCTAGTACACTCAGTCAAAGCACTGTGTGGTTTGACTCATCCACATAGCAGGACAGGTCCAGACTGCAACAAAAACAAAAAGCTGACTTTTCCTTCAATCAGGACTTGCACAGGTCTGAGGGTCAGAAAAAAAAATGTTGTGACATCAAATGATATCGAACTTCTTCTCGTGACCCTCAAAGATACTTCACCATGAAATATGTCTCTCCTATTCGCACGCACATTCACAGGCTGATGACGGCGAGCTACTGGACGGTAGTCACAGCTGCTCTGGGGCAGTCAGACAGAAGAGAGGCAGCCACATCGTACCATCGGCCCTTCTGACAAACGCGTGGGCTCAAACCGGCAACCCACCGATATAAAACCCAAGCATGTGGCGCAGTAAAAGTAAAAACTAGATAAAAGCTTAAAAACGCCACATCCAACCGTGGGCCCGGCGGACAGCTTTAAATACTTCACAGATCGTCGTGTCACACGTCACAGACACGGCTCACGCTTATCTACAGAAATCTCAACCTCTAGCAATTAACCTTCTCTGACAGCTTCATTTGCATCTGTTTACACCTATATATGCTTGAGCTTTGTAACTGTGTGACTGCAGCATGTTTAACCCACAGGGTGCTTCTTTTTGGGATTATAAAAATACACGTGCACACAAAGGGAGCCATTTGAATGTCCTTTTCTGATTCACACCAGGAGGTGTAACCATTTCTCAGGCTTTGTTTTTCTTTTTTTTTTTTTTTTGCAGAAACCCATTTCTTGGCCTCGGATGAAAGCACTGTAGACTGTGAAGGTTGATGGCTGTCATCTCATTAATCATGTTTTCAGGGGGAGGTCTGCTTGGTGGATGCCTCGCTGCTCGGGCATGTCTCTCGGCAAGCCAAACACTCTCAACACGTAAATGTTGAAATCCTTTTTGTTTTTTTTGTTTTGTTTTTTTGTGAGCTGATTTTTGATATTGTTTTCATGTTTGTTCCTTTAGATTGAGAAAATGAGTCACTCTGCCGCTTTGAAGGCTTTGATGTTTTTCTTTTCTTTTCTTTTTTTCTATTTAAATTACAGTTTAGAAGACGGCCATTTGTCATGCATCTT